CCGTAGATACTTTACTACTTTAGATGGGACAGTACTTTTGCCCTGGTGCCTGTCAGCTTCTCCAGGAGCCAGAGTAAGCCTGGCCCTTTGAGGTGACTACACATCTCTGCTCTCATGCACTGGGTACTGATTTTTTCAGTCTAATTCTCAGTGAGCAAGCTTGTTTCCTCATTCTTAGGGAATTTCTCATCTAAGGCAGCTCCCACACAGAAATAACAAAATAAATAACTATTCCCATTTTACAGACTGGGAAACTGAGTTTTGGGGTGCAAAGGGACCGTCAAGGTGTCCAGTGGAGCTGGAACTTGAACCTCGGTCTGTGTGGCTCTGAGGGAAATGCTTTCTGAGGGAGGTGGCTTCTCTCTGTCCCTTCTGTCTGCTGCAGCGGGGTGAGATGTGGCTTCAGCCACCAGGGGGCACTGCTGCCACTGCTGTGAGAGTCCACATCTTCTCATTTTCTCCATTCTCCAAACAAGGAGCTCAGGTGTCTTTTCTGTATCAATACGTTTTAGGCAAAACTGAGAGCAGAGGGGGGGAGGCACAGCCCTGCTCTCAGGCAGGCTACATCAGGAAGGGGCATGGACAAGTGCAATGCTGGCCTGTGACTGAGGAGGTGGCGTGAGGGTGGATATCAATACGTTTTAGGCAAAACTGAGAGCAGAGGGGGGGAGGCACAGCCCTGCTCTCAGGCAGGCTACGTCAGGAAGGGGCATGGACAAGTGCAATGCTGGCCTGTGACTGAGGAGGTGGCGTGAGGGTGGGGGCTCAGAGGATGGATGATGACACTCCAGGGGAGTCAAAAAAGATTCTCAGAGGATGTTTTTGAACTTGACTGTACAGGGTTAGCAGTGATTTGACTCCTGTTCTGCAGACACTGACACCTCCCTGCGGCCCCAAGCCAAGCCTACCCGAGTGTTCCGTAACCCCTGCCACTCCCCTCCGTTTTTGAACTTGACTGTACAGGGTTAGCAGTGATTTGACTCCTGTTCTGCAGACACTGCCACCTCCCTGCGGCCCCAAGCCAAGCCTACCCGAGTGTTCCGTAACCCCTGCCACTCCCCTCCCCCCAGGTGCACCTTGATCACCAGCTTCTGTGAGCCCCAAACTTCAGGTCCAGGCTGTCTGTGCAGAGTCGGAGGCCAAAGAGTCTGCCTGGGTCCAAGCTGAAGAGTGGCTGTGTGTGCACCTGAACACAGTTTAGGGAAAGCTCAGGCTTTGGAGTCCAAGAAATGAGGTTCCCCAACACTTCCTAGCCATGTGTCCCTGGGCAAGTCCTTTCACCTCCCCCACCTCCACCCCCAGCCTCAGTTTCCTCCCTGTAAAGAGAGGGTAATAACAGCCCTTAGGTAAGTGCGTGTCTTCAGTGAGGCTCACCTGGCACCCATCTCTCTGCTCTATTAGCTGGCATATTCTGTTAACCATCTCATCCCAGCCCATGGTGGGAACCACACTGCAGCCCCCGGGGGCAGGAAGCAGGATGCTCTCCTGGAAGGCCCGCTCAGACCCAACCTTGTTCTACCTTGGGAAGAGACTGCCTTGGATGTTGGTGTCAGAGCCACAGGATTTTCATGAGGTGGGGTCTGCATCTAGCTCCACCACTTCTTGGCTGTGTGACATGACAAGTCACACCCCCCACCCCCCCATGAGCCTCCATCTCCTTAGCTGTCAAATGGCCGTAATCGTAGTCCCTAGCTGTTGTGGACACACCTCTGCTCTCTGTTCAGGATTCCTCCTTTCCCCTCAAACAGCAACCTCCCCTTCTTTGGGGATCTCCTCCTCCGCCAAACACTGGTTCAGCAGGGCTGTCTTGGCTTCTATGACCCTGTCCCTTGGCCATAGGTGATTGGCCCCCAGGTGGACACCTGACTAGAGCCAGGCCAATCAGAAGACTTCCCTGTTTTGAATCAGAAAATGTCTGGGAAAGTGGCTGTGGGCTGGGAGGCTCAGGAGTCATCAGGCACATGTCCTTCCTCATGACAGAGTTAGTCTAGAGAGAAAGGCAGAAAACGGAGACGGAAAGACAAAGAGATGTGTCCTGGCAGTTTTGGAGTACCTGGCACCAGCTGTGCCTGGGCCCACTAGCCCTCCTTGTCACTGAAAGGTTCACCCCTCCCTTAGATTCTGGGAATTTCCTTGCTGGTTGGCATTGGGTTTGTAGAGATTCTACCCACATCTCCACAGGGATGTGGGTAGAATCCCATGGGCTAAAGTGCATGAAACGCTCAGTCTGAGGCCTGGCCCATTGCAGGCTCAGTAGGCACGAATTCCTTTCCCTTAATGGGCACCGGGCAAAGTTTGGCAAGATACCAGGAAGATGTGAGGCATCAGCACTGGTGAAGTGATGTAGCTTAGCAGCCCCTGGGAGATTATAGAGTCAGGTGCCTTGGGACCCCGTGGAGCCCCTCAGGAGACCAGAATGAATGCCCAAGTGGGACATTTGATGGCCAGGAAAGGATGGGGCTGAGAAAAAAAATCCCTTCCCCATCCATTTGGGGGAGGAGAAGTTGTCAACTGGCACTCCCTTTGTGCCACAGATGTATGCTGGGGACCCTGGAGATCCAGAAGATGAGTGCCAGGAAAGGCTTTCCAGAGGGTTAGGGTTAGGGTTAGGGTTTTGAAAGATCTTTCCAGACAGGGAGAGGGCTTGAGAAGGGACACTGGACTATCACTCTCAATCTTAACTGCTACCATTAGTACAGAGCTGATAGGATGAGGATTTTGCCTGGGTTTGAATCCTGTCCTAACCACCTATGCTGTTTGACCTTCGACAACTTATTTACTGCTTTCTCTCTGTTTCTCTCATCTGCAAAATAAGGCAATAGGGTTTTTGTTTGTTTTGGGGTTTTTTAATGCTTAAACAAGATGATATATGTAAAGCACTCAGAACAGTAAGCTGGCAGAGACTGGTGGCTAACTGCTTAGTTCATTATGAAAAGCCTATACATTATCAAGTCCAAATGACCGTAGCTGTTACCATTTATTGGGCCCTTAATAAGTTCCAAGCACTGAGCTAAATGCTTAGCATGCTTTGACTCATTTAATCCTCCCACCAACCCCAGGAGGTAGGTGACTACTATTATCCCCATTAAAGATGAAAAAGCTGTCCAATATTACACACAGCCAGTGCCCATCAAACACAGCAGGGGGTCCAGCCCAGCTTTGTTTAACGACCCATGCATGCCCTTGGCCCAGAGAAAGGAGGGGACTAGCCCCAGGACACACAGCAAGGGCTAGGCTGCCAGGATTTCTTTATAGACCCATTCAAGGGCACTCATCTGGTGGCGGGCGCTTGAGGTTTGCTCCACTCTTTATAACAACACACCCCTCAGCAACATCCGAGATCCAGGGGTGGCTGACGGAGGTCGCTGGGCACCCGCTCAGGCCTCCCCACCCTCTCCCACTTGAGGGCGGGCCCGGGAACCAGGCTGAGGCAGGGCAGGGCCGGCGTCCCTGCAGGGCTCGAGACCGGCCGCGCCCCGGCCCCGGCCCTCCCCGCCCCCCACCGCGTCCGCAGAAGGTCCTTGGAGAAAATTCCAGCCTCGCCCGGCCGAGCAGCCCCTGGCCGGGGTTTTTCCAGCCGGCGCGGCCCGGGCCCGAGGGCTCCCCGCCCGGCCGCTTCCCGGGGCCGCCCGCTGGCCTTGGCTCCTCGGGGACGGGCGGGCCGGCCAGGGGACCCGGGCTCGGGACGTCCTGGCAAACAGGAAACGAGACAAAGGCGGCCGCTTATCGGGCCGCCGCGCATTCCTTTCAGGTGATGTCCGCGCGCGGCCGCCGGGGGTGACGCAGTCGGCGCTGAGGGCCTGCCACGGTCCCCTGGGGGAGGACCTCCCGGTCGCCTCCCCTCAGTGACTCCTGCGGCTGCCCCTGCCTCCCCTGGCCGCTGGAAGTTGGGACGAGGAGGAGCCCTGCGCTCGGGGACACCCTCCCCGGGCACAGCCCCCTGAGTTCCTGGAAAGGAAGGCACCAGACTGGCCTCTGTGCCTAGAGGGACAGGCGGCTGGCGACTCGGGAAGGAGGTGCAGGGGGAAGAAGGGGTCCACACGCTGCAAGGCCACCGTATAGCAGCAGGGGAATGCGGTGGGTACCAGGACTCACTAATGAACCAGACCCAGTGCCTGCCCTCAAAGAACTTCCAGCATAATGGGGGAGGCAGGGAGACACCCACATAAGCGAAATACTGGGTGAAAGCACAGAGTGCATATGAGGTGACGGAGGGGCAGAGGTGGTTTGGGGGAGCGTGGGTTCCCCTGCACAGCACCTGGCACATCACTAGCCCTCCAAAGGTTAGTGTCTGGATAAAGGAACCTGGAGGTGGCTTTGAAATAGGAGTGGGTGGCATGGAAGGGCATCTGGACTGGGAACAGCGTGTGCAAATGCCTGGTGGCCTGTGGGTGTCCTGGACATTTGAGGAGCAGTGAGGACTCCAGAGTTGCCCGGTACAGGGTTTAGAAGCTGGTGAAGAGGCTGGTGGGGCAGGTCCTACTGGCCTTGAAAGGCAGACTGAGGCTGGGCTTCTTCGGCTGGCACTGGGAGCCTGGAGAGGTGGGTGGGGAGTGGGCTCAGCTTGGCCCAGGGGCAGGGGATGGAGAGGGGACCCCCTTGCCTCAGTGGCTTGGAGAGGCTGATCTGCAGAGACAGAGGCTCCAGCTTCTGTGGACCGTGCCCCCCTTGCCTGCTGGGCACTGGCTTCAGTTCTGCTGATTGGTGGGCTGGGCTCGCCCTTTAGGAGGTGCTGACTGACTCAGCGTCTGAGAGGTGGTTCCCACGGCTCATGTTTCTCCAGGGCCAAAGGCTGTGCCATCCATGCCCCGCCTCCAAGTGGGTCAGTGCCCAGGGCACTGATAATTAGGCTGAATGGAGGCTAAGATTTCTAGTCCACCCACTCCTGCCAATCAACAACACCCCAGGCAGTCCTTTCTGCTGTCTGACCACGCGCCACCCCAACTCTGGCCCAGCTTTTCACTTCCGGTGGTTCCAGGGGACTGCAGTTATCAATACTTTGGTTTTATTTTAAAACAGTGAACACAAAAATAAATATCTTTGAAGAATAAGAATACAGGGGTGGGGTGGTGGGGCTGGAGACTTGAGGGCATCCCACCATCGGTGGTCCTGGGATCCGGGATCTGCAGGCCCTGCTCCTCCTGGGCCAGGCCCTGCCCTGTCCCCACTGGGAGGTCTGGGGGCTCCACCAGCCTCGCCTGCCCGCGGCTCCCAGGCCGGGCGCTGTGTCAGCGGAACCCACGCCGGGATTAGTGCACTGGCGCCTGCCTGCACCCAGGCTCCGTCGGGTGGGGCGGGGGGCGCCATCCCATGGGGGGCTCTTCCACTGGCCGCCCTCAGCCAGGACCCCGGGCTGGGCGTGGCATGGTGCCGGCAGCCTCAGTGGTGACCCATGTCCTCCATGCCCACGCGGCCCCAGACGCCCAGCACAAAGCTCTCGATGTCGCACTCGTTGGTGCCACGCAGGATGCGGAAGTGGCCCTTCTCACCCCAGGCTGGGCCCCATGAGTTGGCAGCCGTCTGGGAATGAGGAGGGGCCATGAGGAGAATGGGAGTGGGGTGAAGAGACGAGGGGGCAGGGGAAAGGGAATAGCACACTGCTGAGGGACTCACCCAGTATTTGAGCGTCCTTCCATCAGGCAGCGTCTCCTGTCCCCACCTGTGGGCAGAGAGGTCGGAGAAAGGGTGCGATAGCGGCCTCGGGGCACACTGCTGAGGGACTCACCCAGTATTTGAGCGTCCTTCCATCAGGCAGCGTCTCCTGTCAATAGCACACTGCTGAGGGACTCACCCAGTATTTGAGCGTCCTTCCATCAGGCAGCGTCTCCTGTCCCCACCTGTGGGCAGAGAGGTCGGAGAAAGGGTGCTGATTCCACCTGTTCTCAGGGGCTCTAACCCCTGGGGCCTTCCCCATCCAGGCCCTGCTGCCTTTTGAAAACTTGGGTACACCTTTAGGACTTGGGCAAGTCTCTGTCCCTCTCTGCACCTCCCTCAGTCTCCACATCTGTGAGTCTGTGTACCTAAGCCTCACATGAGGAGAAGGCACCTACTAAGAGGATAGGGGAGGGGGTGAGCAGAAGAGGAGGGACCCGCATGCTGGGAACGGTTCTGTGGGACCTCATACATCTGTCTGCCCTCCTTCACCTGGGGAGCCAGGGAGGCAGGGTGGTTGCCAAGAATCAGAAGGAAGAGACTCGGAGCACGTGGGTACATTAGAGGCCCCAAATTCCCACTGCAAAGTATATTATTGATTTCCATGAAATCAATGACTCTAACATCTCCTGTTATATCAGATGGGGAAACTGAGGTCTGTGGAAGTGACCTGCCCAGATCACTCGGTGAGTTAGTAAGAGGTGTCATGGGTGTGGAGATGCGCAGAGGTTGGGCAGCCCTTGAATCCTTGTCGATATTTCATTGAGGTTGTGTTATCTTAATGTGTAAGGAAGGAACAGTTCCTAGAAAACCTTCAAAGGCTCCCAACTCCCTGTGTGACCCAGGGCAAGTCCCTCCTCTTTCTGAATCTTGGTTTCCTCCTTTTTGAAATGGAAGAGTGGCCGGCCCGTGGCTCACTCGGGAGAGTGTGGTGCCGATAACACCAAGGTCACGGGTTCGGATCCCATATAGGGATGGCCGGTTAGCTCACTGGGTGAGCGTGGTGCTGACAACACCAAGTCAAGGGTTAAGGTCCCCTTACCGGCCATCTGTTAAAAAAAAAAAAAAAAAAAGAAATGGAAGAGCAACCCTGGCTTTGCAGCAGGCTCCAGATCCCCCAGTGCAAACCCTTTTGCTACCAACCCCTCTCTGCCCACAAGCCCCTTACCCTGTGATCTTGACCGAGTGGGTCCCGTGCCGGCGGTATTGCTCCGGCCTCCCAAGGCTCACTGGTGTGTGGCTGTAGATGCCACCCTGGTACAGGAAGAAGTCTTCGTGCACCTCCATGAGGGCTGTAGGCAGAGGTTGAAATAGGGCCCACTCAGCCCATCAGCACTGGCACTGATGCCCGAGTCTGTTGACGTGCCCAGACACCAGGGCCTCTCCATACTGAGACTCTAAGTGCCCCCTCCAGGTGCTGCCTGCAGGGAGGAGATGTGGTCCTCCCGACTCCTGCCCCCACTAGACTTGCGGCTCAGTGCTGTACTTGTGCTGTTGTGCCCAGTCTCAAGTAGCACAAGCTTCTGGAACCAGGGGCAGGATGAGGGGCAGTTACCTTGGACAGGGCCATTCTCCATCAGCTCCTTCATGATCTCCTTCTCCTGGGGGTGAGGGATGGGGAAGAGCATCCATAAGGTGTGAGGCTCCAGCCTGTGGCCAAGCTAACTCCCCCACCTCAGCCCTCCACGCAAGTGCAGACTTACATCGGAGCCGAGACGGTAGGCGGGAGTGACCTGGTAGATGTCATTGGCATGGACATAGCTATTGGGGCAGCGGGCAGTGGCCTGGCGCTTGCCCCGGCCCATGGCCCGGCTGTGCATCATGCAGCGGGGCTCAGGGCCAGCCTCGTCCCTCTCCCGGCCCGAGAATGGGTAGCAGTGGTCAGACACAACCCTGGAGAGGCAGCGGGAGGGAGCAGGAGCAGAGTGACTCAGTGCACCTGGCCCAGACCCTGCCCACAGGGTGCCTTGCCCTCTTCCCTGCCCACACCCCTGCTGCATACCCTCGACGCCGCAGGAACCACCAGGCACCATCGAGACGCCCCCCGTGGCAGCCCTGCTGATGGTGGGTGTCACAGGACAGCAGGTTCTGGGGTGACAGGACAGGCGTCATGTGTCCCAGGGAATGGATTGAGACACGATCGGATGCCACGGCTGGCAGGGGAGGCAGAGAGGCCATCAGGGGGCTCAGGCCTTGGCCCTTCCTTCCCAGTGTGCCAGCCCCTGCCCTGGGACATACCTGCTGTGGAGAAGGCCCAGGAGCCTGCACAGTTGCCCTGGTCGAGAGGCTCGTGGATCATGTTGGGCCACTTTTCAGAGGCCTCGAAGGCCGTGGGCAGCACCTCCCCTGGGCCCAGCACTGTCTGCAAGGCAAAAGTTGCCCTGTCTGGCCTGCCCTGCCCCTACCTGCCTCTCAGGGGCCCGTTGGCACTGGAGGGCCACCCAGAGTCCAGGACCTTCTACAGCTGCGGGATTCCAGCTACCTCCAACTTTGACTTGAGTGGAAGAAACAAGCACCATTTAGTGCCTCCCAAGTATCACTTCAGAGGTGATCAGTCCTGTTTTACAGATGAGGCAACTGAGGCCAGGAACAGGGGAGTGGCTAGGCCAGGGTCACTCAGCTCTCCATTCTCAGCCCTGCCTCTTTCCTCTGTACCTTCTCATCTGCCACACCCTTCTTCTTTGCCAAGGCCTTGGGCTTCAGGTCCCAAAGGACTGGGGCGGGAAGAGGAGTAGGGTCCCATGACCAGGCAGGCCGCCAAGGCAAACAGCAGGCGGCAGAAAAAAGCCAGAAGCCCAGGGGAGCAAGGGCAGGGGCTGGTCACCCCAGCCTTGGGCCAAAGTCGCTCTGCAGGGAGGGCCAGTCTTGCCAGCCTCTGCCTCCCGCTGCCTGTCACTGATGAGCAGATCCTCCAGCATGGGCCCCAATCAAGCCCTGCCGAAGCAAACGTCCCTTCCTCACCCCTTCACTGTTCAGAGCTGGTTCCCTTTTCTCCCCCTAAAGGGTCCCAGTGGTGGGAAGGGAGAAGTCCTCTTCTCCCTTGGGGTTCCACTGAGTCAGCATTTATTTCCGAGAATTACTGCTCTCTGGCTGAGCTGGAGGAGTGTCTGTCCCTCCCTTCCCAAAATACCAAGGTGACCTCGTGGCCCTTTGGGCCCTGACCCAGCTGTACTGGGACGAACAGCATTTTTCCCAGGCTGAGGAGGTCAGGAGGGCCTGATGTCAGGACCACAAAACTCTGAATTTAAGCATCAGTTCTTCCAGTGCAGCACATCTTGTTATAGGCAGGAAACAAAGGCCCAGAGAAGGTGAGTAACTTGCCCAGGGGCACACAGCCTTGGTAGAGGTGAGGTCCAGGCCCTTGGAGGAGCAGTGCACAGGGTGCAAGTGTCCTGAGGTTCTAAGCCACGGGGAGATGGTGGGATTGTGGGCAAGGATGGACTTACATAAATCTCATTCATGTTCATGACAGAGGAAGATGGGCGGATGGTGCCCAGGCGGTAGCGAATGCCCTCATCCAGGGTCATGCCCCAGAAAGCGCTGTGGTTTCCAGCCCGCCACCTGAAGGAGAGGGGATGGAAGGAAGTCACAGATCTGCCAAGGCTGGGGGTCCTGGGGATATGTGTGCATGTGGGTGAGAGAGACGCAGAGTGCATGTGAGTGCAGGACCTGCATCTCGTGCAGAGTGTACGAGTATGTGTGTATGTGCGTGCGTGCGTGCACTCGTGCCTGCTGGGGGCACATCCACGGCCTCTCACCCGTAGTTGCCCTGGTTGATGGTGTTGATCATGTCTGGGTCCACCAGGCATGGCTCCTGGTCACACTCCCACTGCCCTTTCTCCTGACAGGTGCTGGTGAGAAAAGGAGGGAAGGAAGGGGTGAGTGGGGGAATGAGGACCCTCTGAAGGGATGAGGACTCAGAGGTCAGCATGGGCCTGGGATTCTGTATCAGTGACTCTGGGTTAACCCCTAGATGATTCCATCCAGGTTGGTGGCTTTAAACATCAGCTTCAAGTTCACGATTCTCATGTTTCCATCTGCCACCCAGATCTCTGCTGAACTCCAGAGTCAAGGATCTCACGCTAATCAACATCACCACTGGGGTGTCTAAGAACAGATCAAGTTTAACACACCCCAAACCAAATTCCTGATCACCATCACTCCCATGCTTGCCAGCAAGCGGCAACTCCATCCTTCCTGGAGCTCAGGCCAGAAACCTAGGACTCGTCCTTGAATTTCTCTCATATACCAATCCAATTCATCAATAAATCTGGTTGGGTCCACCTTAAAACACATCCAGGTTCTAAACCGTGCCTCACTCTCTCCTGCGGCCACCACGGTCCAATCACCTTCCACCTCGATTACTGCTGTAGCCTCCTCAAAGTCCTCCCACATCTGCCCTGCGCCCCCCTCCCCCCCAGTATATTTTTAACGCAGCTGCAGAGTGACCCGGCTAAACCTAAGTCATATCATGTCATTCCTCTGCCCAGAACCCTCCACAGGCTTCACATCACAGAATAAGAGCCAAAGTCTTTACGGTGATGGTGACAACAAGGCTCTGCGTGATCTGTCCTCTTGTCCCCTCTCTGACCCCCTCCTCCTAGTCCTGGTTTCCAGGCTGCAGCTAGGCTGGCCCCCTGGAGGTGCACACCAGCCACGCTCCTGCCCCAGGGACCTTGAGCTGCTCTTCCTCCACATCTCGTGGCTCACTCTCATTTCTTCCAAGTCTTTATTCAAATGTCACCTTCTCAGGTAGCCCTCCTCTGGCCACCCTATCTTAAAATTCAACATCCTCCACACTTTCTGTCCTGTGTTCCTGTTTTGTTTTGTTTTCTTAGCATGCCATCACTGTCTGACATACTCCATATTTAGTTATTTATGTCGTTTGTACCTGTTTTCTCATAGACTCTAAGTTCCTTGAGGGCAGGTATTGTTTGGTATCTTCGGTGCCTAAGAAAATAAAATTTAGCACATAGTAGGCACCCAGTAAATATCGGTTGAATGAATGAATGGCTGAGTCAGTATAGTCCAGTGACTGAGAGCATGGTTCTGGAATTCAAACTCTGGGTTCCAATCCTAGCCAACTACTCGTGTGACCTTAGGAAAGTTATTTAAAACTCTCCCTCAGTGTCCTTGTCAGTAAAATGAGGATAATAATAGTACCCCTTTCTAGGGATTAAATGGCAAGCTTGTAAAGCGTTTAGCATCGGGCCTGGTCCATTGTTAAATGCTCAGGATTGGTATCTAATACTATTGTTCTTGTTACAGGAACCCCAGACCCCCCTTCTCGTGAGCTTCAGACTCGAATCCAGCTGACCTGCTGACACCCCTGGATGTGCAAAAGGCATCTCAAACTTAAAATAGCCCAAACGGCCTTCCCCCAAACTGACTCCTCCCTAACGTCCTCAACTCGGAAAATGGCACCAGTTCTTCTCATCAGAACACTGTCAGGTCTGTGGTGTCCCCCCACGTGTCCCCCTTCAACAGGCCTGGGGATGGCACCTCATGAATCCGTCAGCCTCTCACCCCTCCACTGCCCCCTGCCCAAGTCCCTTGTCACCTCTCACCTGGACCACGGCAGTGGCTTTCTAATCAAGTTCCCTACCTCCCTGTGATTCTTCACCCCCACCCAACAATCCATTCTCTACCTACACTACAGCCAGAGAGAACTTTGAACAATGGAAATCAACTGTGTGCTCTCTATGTGGCTTCCTATGACACTTAGAACGAAATACAAAATCCTCGGCACAGCTTATAAGACCCGTGGCATGTGGCCCGCACCTCCTCAGGGCCTCCCCTCCCCAGATGTCACCTAAATGAGCTTGGTGGTCCCACCCCAAGCTGTTCCCTCGGCCTGGGTCTGGTCGCTCGCCTCTCTTCTATCCATGTCCTTAGTATTGGCATAAATGTCCCCCCCTCAAAGTGGCCTCCCCTCACCTTCTCCCCACTCTAAACTAGGCTCCCCCATTTTCCTCTCTTTTCCCCTCTAACACCTATAGCAGCTTGTAACGACAGATTTATTTGTTGTTTTTCCATGTCTTTCACCCTTAGGCTAGAAGCTCCAGTGGGACAAGGACTGTGTCTGTCGAGTGGTGGCTGTGTCTCCTGCGTCCTGCACAATGCCTATTACACAAGAGAGTTTTAACAAATAGATGTCGACAGAAGGGCTGAATTCATTGAATTCTATGAATTCTACGTTGCGTTTACAAGCTCATAACTGTGCTATTACAAGATGCTAAACTGCCTCCTTCTGAGCTGGCCCGAGGCTCCCGCCTCCAATGTTGCCTTTTAAGGAGCCTCAAGGGCAGCAAACACCCAGTATGGCTGGGTCTTCGCTCAGGGAGCGGGCGGGGCACTCTCAGGGAGGGCGGGAGGAGTCTGCAGGGGGAGGGGACGTTCTCTTTGTCCTTCCTTTCACCCTCTGCACTCTGGGCACAGACTAGACTCTCTCCAAGCATCCCTCGAGGGCTCCCACGCCCTGGAAGGTGCACACGCTCTACTCATGTGTCAATGTACAGGGAACACAGCCACCCAGAGCTGTCCTGAGGAGAGGGCAGTGAGTTTTCAGTCCATTCCTGCCACCTCCTCCTTTTTCCCCAAGCTACCCAAAGTCTAGACAGGGCTGGTGGTAGCAGGTCCCAGCATCCCAGATGCAGGAACAGGAGTGGGAGAGTGTTAATCCCTCAATGACTGAGGCATCCCTCTAGGACTTGCAGACCCAGGCAGGCACACTCCTTCTGAACACGCACACAGTGGCGCACACACACTCACACCTCACACACTCACACGTTCTCACCCAGACACACGCCCAAACGCACCAGGCCCGCCTTTCACTATGACCCAGGCACGCCTCACCCCGGCGAGGCAATGGAAACAGCTTATGGGCAACGCATTCCACAAAGTGTCCTTCTCCCTGGGACCTCTAGGTCCCAAGCAAGAGGAAATGGGGGTGGAGTGGGTGCAGGGCTTCCCTCCAAGTCGCAGTGTCCCCATTATTTCCATTAAGGCATTCAAGGCTTTCTACCCAAGCCTTCCCCACTGCCCATCTCCATTGAGTAGGAGGGCACCCATGGCCCCTTCCTCCTCCTGCTGGGAATGGTGGGGGGAGGGGGCCGCATTCCAGGGAAGGCCCTGCCACAGGCTGGCTGGCCGCCAGCTCGGCCATCCCTGACCCTGATCCGGCCCAGGGCAGCGGATGCTGCAGTCAGAGCTTTCCTTCCTGGCGCCCCCTTCTCGGACTCTCCGGTGACAGCAAGAACAGTGGGAGGGGCAATAGCCCAGACCACGCCGGGAGTGGCAGAGAAGGACTTCCAGCTCAGGGGTGGCACCTGGCCCAGGCATCCATGGCTGACCACTGCCGGGGAATGTTGTTAGAATGTTGTTATATAAACTGACATGGTCAGTGTTAAAATTCCCGTGTTACAAATGAGGAAACTGAGGCTCAGAGAAGGGAAGACTTGTCCCCAGAATATGAGTGGCAGTGATAGGATTGGAACCAAGTCTGCCGGCCACAGGCAACCCCCTCCAGGACCCAAACACTCACCAACGGTTACAGTTGTCCTGGTAGGTTCCCAAGATTGGATAGACGCGACCCCCATGCATACATCCTGGTGGGGGGGAAGAGGAGAGGGGCGGAGTGAGGGCCAGAGGATGGGCTGAGATGGCCAGATCCAGGGTCACCTCAGTCACACACATGCACACACGCACGCACACACCCCTGCCCTCACTGAAACTAAAGCCAAGCTATAACTTAGGACATCTCCTGCAGGGTCACACGCCGACTGTTCCTTGCTTGGGAAGTTCTTCACTGATTTTAACTTGGATCCCTCTTGCTTCACTTGGATGCCAGCCACAACATTCCTGGGATCCTTTGTCATTTAAATGAGGTGGGGCTTGGAGATCCGGAGTAGGAGGGGCATGGGGAAGGTGAAGCCCAGGGAAGGTAAGAGACTCCCCTGAAATTACAGCACTTGGGGGTGACACCTCAGGTATCAGTCTCCTAGCCCAAAGCTCCACAGAACTGTGGGAAGGATTCTCCTACAGGACGGAGGCAGCAAGTGCGTGGAGAAGGAAGGGATGAGGGCTGAAGGCAGGACAGACTTGACCCACCTCCCAGGTGTGACCAGCCATCTCAGAGGGACAGAATCCAGAGCAAAGGCAGAAGAATGGCTAAGATGACCCTGACCAACCCCCGTGTGCTTTATCAGCCTGCGGGTGAGTCAGCAGGTGGGGCCAGGATCAGAACGGAGACAGGACTGGGAGAAAGGGCGGGAGGCTGCCCCTCCCCTGAGCCAGCCTAGAATCCCAACCAAGGATCTCTCAGTCTTGCTGGAGAGAGTCAAGTTAGGCCACAGCAGGGATCTCCCCGTGGGGAAGGGTCTCTCTCCGAGATCCTACAAAGCCTCCCCTGGAAACATTAATGCATCAGCTTTGCTCCTGAGCCTTGATGAGTTGGGGGAAGATGAAGCGACCCGCCTTCCTGACCATCTTGGTGCCCACCTTGAATGGGGGGAAAGGGAGGAGGCACGCCGAGGCAGAAGTCCCAGAAGTCAGGGCAGCAGTCGGAGATGGTGCGGTTGCAGAAGAGGTCACAGTAACAGGTGGCGCCCAGGTAGGGCAGGGCGCAGTCGTCAGCACGGCCGCGGCAGCACAGGTCCTGCTCCTGGCAGTACCGGCCACCCGCATCCCGGATGCCCCGCAGGTGCAGACCCGGTGCTAGCTCCCGGCGTCCACGACCTCGCCGGGCACCCAGGGCCACCTGGCCAGGCAGCAGCAACAACAGCAGCAGTCCCAGTGGACATCGCCACATGGTGCCTCCTGGGCCCAGGGAGGGCAGAAGTCAGGGGTCAGAAGTTGTGGGGAGCAGAGAGTCTTTGGCACACCAAGGACAGACCTCCCAGCTTTTTGGAGCTGTGATTCCAAGGGGGTCCAGTAGGGTGGGAGACCCTAATTCCTGAGTCCTCAAGCAGGACACAGGCAGAGGAGCCACAATTTGTATGCCCTGGTTTATAGACGGAAGGGGACTAGGCAGAAATGGAGCCCCTCCCTGACCTGCGTAGGGACCTTCAAAGACAGGAAATGGGGACTGGGACATTCTTGGTGCCCCCTGCCCAGCACCCATCCTTTGGACCCAAGGTCTCTCCTGTCCTGAGTCCTTCCTCCCCTCCGTGCTCTCCTGTCTCCCAGGTCTTTCCTGTCCTCCCCTCTTCTCTTCCTCTCTGTGTCCCTCTGCTCCCCTCCACTGTCCCTCTCTCTGCCATCCGTCTTGGTCCCTCTGCAAGCCCCCTCCTCCTCTCTGCTCCTTCTCTGGCTGCACCCTCTGCCCTCTGAGCAGAGAAGCTCCCTACCTGGTGAGGGGTGTGGGCTGGGCCCAGGCTGCACCAGCGCCTCCGCCTCCTGGCTCCGCCAGCGACCGCTGGACACTCAAAGTCAAGTCAGGAAGGCGGGGCGGGACCGCTTTTTGTACCGCCCCGCCTGTCCCCACGCCGCCCAGGGCTGCGGGAGGGAGGGGCCGGCTCATTCGCACCTGGAGCAGCCCTAACTCAGGACTGGGTCTTGAGGGGGAGGCGGGAGATTGAGCACGTGATTGTCCCCCCTGGGTCTCGCAGTGGAAGCTGTTCCCTTAGGGGGCACCCAAGCAGAACTGGTCTGACACCGGGAGGGACTTTCTAATGGGCTTCACCGTGGGGCTAAGAGGCTCTCCTAGAGAATGGGAAGTAGGGGGCAGCCAAGCTCCGAGTTTGGGGCTAGAGTTTGGGAAATGATGGGAAGGGAGTACAAAAATCTCTAAGCCCCCTCTAACTCCTCAGTAATGAACAGAGCCATGCACACCCCTCTTCACAGTGCCCTCCAGGCTTGGGGCCGCCCCAAGCTGCCTCAGCTCCCAGGAATGATTGGAATCTGAGGACGGTTTAGGACCCTGCGGAAGCCCAGGCAGCTCATGGGCAGGAGGTGGGTGTGTGTGGGGGCAGCCTCTATGCTGTGAGACCCCTCGTTAGGTCTGCCCTCCCCAGTCTGCTTGGGCACCTCGCCCGCCAAGCACTGCCCCTCTATTAAACCCAAGGACATCCTGCTTGGCAGCTGTCCCCTCTGAGGGCCCAAAGGCAAGAGCCCTGCCAGCTGGCGCCCCCTGCAGAGCCCCCCCTTCCTGCCCCAGGCATAAACCCTTCCTTTGCCCAGGCTGGCCTGGGCCCCAAACAATGGGGCTTCTGTCATGCCAGGCCTGCCGTCACCTTTTACCTCCCATTGCGCAATCCCCTCTTCCAACAGGTTGGGCCCAGGCCAGAGGACTCTACTAGCAGAGAGGATGAAAGAGACTACACCTGGACAGACCCCTGTCCCCGGCTCACATGCCACACCTGGGGCAGGCATGGGGATTCCCTTTGCTCTCCCAGTGACCTCCGTGCACCCCTCCCCAGACTAGGAGCATCCTCAGCTGGCCAACCCCTGGGGGAAGAGGGAGAGACGAGGGCAATGGGCACCTGTCTGAGTTACTCCTGCCACGGGGCTTTGGGCAGTGAGTCTCCAAGGGGGTCCTGCCCTGGTGCTGCGGGTAGATGGGGGTGGAATTATTCCTAGGGCCCCAGCGTTGGCACTAACACACCCAGGAGCTGCCCTCTGCTCCCTGCAGGGACCTGGGAGGACAAAGTCTAGGTGGAATACTGACCCTCAGAAGGGTGCTGCGGGTAGATGGGGGTGGAATTATTCCTAGGGCCCCAGCGTTGGCACTAACACACCCAGGAGCTACCCTCTGCTCCCTGCAGGGACCTGGGAGGACAAAGTCTAGGTGGGATACTGACCCTCAGAAGAACAGACATGCTTGAAGTCACACAGCCCAACCACAGCCTCCCTATCTGCCACCAGCCCACTCCTTTCCCCCCATTCACGCTTAGTCACCTACTACAGGTCTCAACACGCTCCTGGCTGGGAAGTCCCTTTTCATATCTAACCTCCATTCATCTTACTGCAAGATGGGCTTCCCAGTATTAGTAAATGTCATGTCCTCAGGGTCAGAGACGGAAGCTGCCATCAGAAGAGCTCATGCCCAGGGTGCCTACTTCCATAGATCAGTTTCGTGGTTGTGGGGCTGGAGGCTGGCCCAGGGGAATCCAGCTTGTCTTTTGCCCAAAGTCACTCCCTGTAGGCTACCTGCACGAGTCTGTATGTGCTCTGTGTATCTGGGTAGCTGTGTTTCCGAGGGTTCTGGCTTGAGTGTCTGTCCGTCTGTATCTGCTTGTCTCTCTGTTTACCTGCTATGTGTCTGTGTGTCTGTGTGTCTGGATGTTTTGGCTCTTTGCCTTTTCTTGTCTGTCTGTGCCTGTCCATTCACCTGTCAGTCTGCCATGAGCCTGTGTATCTGTGTGTCTGTGTATCTGTCTGGCTATTGTCTCTGTGTTGGTCATGGGTCTGTCTGTCTGTTAGTGTACTGTTTGCCTGTGTTTGTGTGCTTTTGGGCTTGTATGTGTGTGTGTAGCTGTGTGACAGTCCCTGTCTGTGTCAGTGGTCTTGCTAGGTGTCTTGTGTCTGTTGGGTTTTGACTGTCTGCCTGTCATTGTCTGTCTGTCTGTACATAGGAGGCAGCAGCACAAAGCAGGAGCAGTGAGCAGAGCCAAGAGTGTCCCCTGTCACTGCTATGCCTGGCTTTGAGCCCACCCCAATGGAATCTCATGACTCATTGGGTTCCTTAGCCAAGGAGGAGAGGAAAAGGGCAGGGCCGGGGGCTGCTGGACACCCCACTTTCCTTTTCCATGACCCTCTCCCTCCTGGTGACTCAGTCTCTTAGTCTTGCCCAGAGTGGGGCCTTGTCAAGGGCCTGGGACAGAGCACCAGGTAAGGAGCCAGCAGCAAGACATCCCCTGAGCCCTTCAGCCTTCTTAACAGGCAGGTGACCTGGGCCTCGGTGGTGATTCTGTCCTCTCCCACTTAGGACAGTAGTCAGCACAGCCCCTCTCCGGGCCTTGGTTTCCTGTCTGTACTCAGATGCTCCCTAGAGACCTCTGGTGCTCTCTTCTTTCTACAAGGGGAGGTGAAGCCAGAGAGGGGCAGTGACATGCCTGAAGACACTCAGCAGAGCAGAGGCCCAGGCCGCTCTTCTCTTCCTAGAGGTCCAGAGCTTCCGCGACCCGGGAAACCCTCACAGCTGCTCTGGTACTCAGAATAGACCATTCTCCCCCGGAGGCTGAGCAGGGCCTTCTGGGAAGACAAAGACCCATTGTCTGCTGCACCCGGGTCCCTGGCTGAGGACCCACACTACTTGAGGACTGGGGGTTTAGATGCTTGTGTCCCAAACAGCTCTCCAGCCAACGCTGGGGGTTCCTTGTGGCCCACTTTAATCAGCTGGACTTGTCTGGAGCTTGGAGCAGTGATACTGGGCCAGGCCTAATGTTGTAGCAGGTTAGGCCATGTTATGATACGCTGGGCTTCCTGGGGCCTGCTGGATTGTGTTGTGAGGAGCACCCCACGAGTGCCGGGTGACAGACAGAATGTTGTGCGGTCACAGCATGCTGCGGCTTGCGGTAGATAAGAGTCTGGGCCGCATGGATGCTGTTGCGCGGTGCCATGGTATGCTTCGCTGTCTGACTTTCTCCTTCATTCTGCAAATATTTGTTGAGCATTTACTGTGTGCCAGGCCAGATGGTGAGTGTTCAGTGTTGAACCAAACAGACATGGGTCCTGGTGTTGTGAAGTTTGTAATCTAATGTGAAGAGAGACAAATAAATAAGCGAAAAACAGATCAAGAAGTCATTCCAAACTGTGAAGTGCCAAGCAGATATGCACATAGCGTAAGAACCTGAAGTGATGTGATGGACAAGGCAGTCTCAGAGAGGAAATAATGTCTGAAACCTGAAGGATGAGAGGAGGCAGACACTCCTGGAGTCCGGGGCTGGGTGTTCCAGGAAGCCAGATCGGAATGAGCAAAAGCCCTGATTCACGGCACAAGCCAGTCCCTTTGAGACACAGAAGAGAACCCAGAGCTAAGGACTACAGGAGGGAAGGGGGCAGAGGGACTGGATCTCATAGGACCCTCGGGCTGTAGTAAGGAGCTTGAATTGTCTTCTGAGCACTGAAGAGATTTAAACATGAGTGTGAAATAATCTGATTTACATGTGCAAAAGTCCTCTGTGGCTGCTCTGTAGAGAACAGATTATTATAGGGTGAAAGCTGATTCAGAGAGTCCAGAGAGGAGGCAAGGGTGTAATCAGACTGGCGATGCTGGGGCTTGAACCAGGCTGGTGGCAGTGGCGATCAGGAGAAGTGGAGCAGTGAGACATATTCTGTAGATGCAACTGCCATGACGTGCTGAAGGATCAGACATGGTGGGTGAGAGAGAGGAGAAATCAAGGCAGGCTTGTGGGTTTCCAGCTTGGTGGGTTTAGCATGGCTGCAAATTCTCTGCTCCTCCTCCCATTGACGAGCAGAAACTATTAACCCTCCCTTCGAATCTGTGCAGACTCGGGGCTGCTTTGATTAATGGAGCATGTGTGACCTCTGTTAATTTCCATCAAACTGGAAGAGAGGAAGGAGGACCGAGGCTTGGAGGCTCCCATATTAGAAGTTTGGCAGAGAGTAGGGAGAAGTAAAATAAACTGAGCAGGAATTGCCAAGGAGGTAGGGGGAAGCCTATGTTCTCTAGCGAGAACAGTAGTGAGAAGCCAGTGGAAGAGAGTGTTTCCAGAAGGAAGGAGAGACGACCTGCGAGGACTGCTGCCGAAAGGTCGAGTACGATGAGGACAGAGAAATGTCCACTGGATCTGGCAACCAGGAGGTCGGGGCAGTCTTAGCGGAAGAGTGAGGAAAAAGCTGGATTGCAATGGATGGAACAGCAAATGGGAGCCAATGCACTGGGGTGAACAGCCACAGGCAACTTTGCACAGAGTTTTAGTGCAAAGGGAAGCAGATGAATGGGCCGTTGGCTGGAAGGGAACAGGTCAAGGGAGGGCTTTGTCCAAATGTGGAAGATACAAAACTGAGCTGATGGGAATGACCTGCAGAAGGGGAGGGACTGATGATACAAAGAGACAAACAAAGTCCTTGATAAAGTAGGAGAGGAGGGGTCTGGAGCACAGAACGATGGAACTGGCCTCTGACAGGAGCAGGGACAATCAGAGATAGAAAAAGGAAGAGGAGATGAGCTTGTAGAAGTAGCCATGCAAAGACCAGAGACCTTCCCTCTCATGCTTTCAATTTTTCCAGTGGAGTATGAACACATTACAGCCAGTGAGGCTGGAAAAGAGGAGAAGGGGATGCAGGGTCGAAAACTGGACGTGAAATAGTTATCACTATCAAGTCCACTAGAGAAACAACAGTACGATTTCTGGCAGAACAGGGATGACCCTTTGAGGCTGCTGACCATGACATTGTCATGACCTGGCCTGCCAGTCTGTTTGATCGTGTGTTATCTAC